TGTATTACCAGGTGCTGAACTTTGCCATGATCGTGTCCTCTGCCCTGATGATCTGGAAGGGGCTCATCGTGGTCACGGGCAGCGAGAGCCCCATCGTGGTGGTGCTCAGGTAATAACAGCATTTCGCTTTGAATTTTATCTGCAAGAACAAAAATAGTCTTTGATGTCACGATTCTTCTCTCATTTACCCTAAATAAATAAAGTGTTTTATTTTTTTCTTGTCGTTCCCAGTGGCAGCATGGAGCCAGCTTTCCACCGGGGGGACCTGCTGTTCCTCACCAACTTCCACCACGACCCGATCCGCGCGGGGGAAATCGTTGTTTTTAAGGTGGAAGGCAGAGACATTCCCATAGTTCACAGAGTAATCAAAGTGCACGAGAAGTAATGCCACTTTGGCCTTTTTATTTTTTCCCTCCTTTCTAAAGATTCTCCCTCTGGTTTTCGGTTAGAGTGTCATTTAGAGGATTAGCTGGTTTATCTGTTTATTACTGATTTATCGCTGGTGAAACTCCTCGTTTCTCGAGGAAAAAATCACAAAGATTGTGAACTTCATAACTTTAATTCAGGGCTTTTATTGACGAATTTACATGTGCCAGGGTGGACACCACCCCTCTCGCACCCACCCCAGACCAAATGACAGCCTGGGAGGGTTTTAAAGCCGTTTCTTGTTAATAAACCCGCTGATAGATAAAGCAATGAAATATCCGATGTCGGTGATTTAACTGGTGCAATAAGCAAACACTGTTATCGCTTTCCATCCTCCCTGTGCTTTGTGGGTGTTAATGGAGGGTTCTCGAAAGGAAATGGTGTTTAGTTTGTCCCCTCCTTCCCTTCCAGAGGAAATGGGAACATCAAATTTCTGACCAAGGGCGACAACAACGAGGTCGATGACAGGGGGTTGTACAAAGAAGGGCAGAACTGGCTGGAGAAGAAAGATGTGGTTGGAAGAGCCAGAGGGTGAGTGGTGCAAAATGGGCTTTGTAATCAGCCAGACAGAAAATTTTAGGTCTTGGATGGGTTGCGGTGTTGATAAAAAAAACTATCTGTCTGGCGTGGTAGTTTTTTTAATTTCTTTTTAAAAGAATTGGTAATTTAAAACAAACAAACAAACAAAAAAAACAGATTGGAAAAGTTCTTTATTAAACTTGTCCCCTTATTAAACTTGAGCAAAAGTTTCCTCAGATTTTTTTTTTAAAAACAAGTTTTACCTGAGGAAAATGAAGGAATTTAATTTCCTGGTCAGGGATGAATTAGTGCCAAGTGTCAGTGATGGATCTGCACCGAAACATTTCCCTGGAATATCTGATTTTGGGGGTGCTCTACTCCTTCCAGGTTTTTGCCCTACGTGGGGATGGTGACCATAATCATGAACGACTACCCCAAATTTAAGGTAGGTCGATTGAAGGGGTGTAAATTAAAGGTGCGTAAAATTGAAGGTGTGTAAATTGAACGGATGTAAAATTTAAGGTATGCCAATTTAAGGTGTGTAAAATTGAAGGTGTGTAAATTTAAGGTATGTAAATTGAAGATACGTAAAGTTTAAGGTGTGTAAATTGAAGGTATGTAAAATTTAAGGTGTATAAAATTTAAGGTATATCAATTTAAGGTGTGTAAATTGAATATATGTAAAGTTTAAGGCGTGTAAATTAAAAGTATGTAAAATTCAAGGTGTGTAAATTGAAGGTGTGTAAATTGGTGTGTAAATTGAAGGTGTCTAAATTTGAGCTGTGTAAATTGAAGGTATGTAAATTGAAGGTGCGTAAAATTTAAGGTGTGTAAATTGAAAGTTTGTAAATTGAAGGTGTGTAAATTTAAGGTAGGTCAATTGAAGGGGTGTCAATTTAAGGTGTGTCAAATTTAAGGTGTGTAAATTGAAGGTGTGTAAATTGGTGTGTAAATTGAAGGTGTCTGAATTTGAGGTGTGTAAATTGAAGGTGTGTAAAATTTAAGGTGTGTAAATTGAACGTATATCAATTTAAGGTGTGTAAATTTAAGGTAGGTAAATTTAAGGTATTTCAATTTAAGGTGTGTCAATTTAAGGCGTGTAAATTGAAGGTTGATTAGGAAAAGCAGAAAATGAATATATCTGGGTTGGGGTTAGAGGGAAGAGCTGGTGCTTTCCTGGGAAGGGAAAGTGTAAATGACTGCGTCCTCTGCTCTCTTGCAGTACGCCCTGCTGGCGGTGATGGGGGCCTACGTGCTGCTGAAACGGGAGTCCTAAAAACAAAAACCAGCTTTTCTCACCAAAATTCCACCTGCGGGGGGTTAAAAAACACTTCACCCTCACGTTTGGGATGGGTTTGTTTGTGCTGAATAAATAAAGAGGGGGTGAGGAGTGGAGCTGTTGGCTGTGGGTTAATTCAGGCCACGATTAATTTACACCTTTTTTTTTTGTTGTTGTGCTTCTGGGGGTTAAATAAACAACAACAACAACAAAAAAAGCTTTTATGGGGCTTTAATAGCGAGTGAATGGCATCGACAGGGAGGGTAAATCATCCCTCCTGTGCCACTTTGCAGGATTTATTATTCCCTCCCATGAGGCAGAAAATTGGTTTTTCATTTCCAGATCCACTGGGTTTTTTTGGGGGGCAATTCCATCGTTTTTTCCCCTTCTGTTGTCCTGCCTGGCTTTGTTTTGGGAGCTGGTGAAAAAAAAACAATCAAAAACCAGCGTGGGGTCTTTTTTTTTTTCCCCCCTCTGGAGTTTTGTTTCTCCTCCCGTCGATAAAACCGCTCTGATTATCCCCCTTTTTGTTGTGGCAGCTCCCAGCTGACTTTTGCTCGAGTGGCATTTACCTCTTTTGTGTCCTGCCAAGTGGGTTTCATTATCAAAAAAAAAAAAAAAGGCTTTATTTGGCGTAAATTGGGCAGAAATCAAAAGGAGGGACCTTTCATTCCATTTCCCTGGAAGTGACGTCATCCCAGGTGAGGAGAGGTTAGTGGGACAACGCCCTGTCAATTTGGGGGGGCAGCCCATTTTTGGCAGGACCTGTAAATTGTCCCATCGGCGCTTCCCCTTTGAATCCTCAAGTCGTTCAACCCCCCCAAAAAATGGGCTGGTTGAAGGGTCGATGATCAACTCCCACCGCCCCAAAAACGCAGCACAAACACCTTTAATGTTCATTTATTCCACATTATTCAAGTCGTGGAGCTCCTCTCTGAGAAATTTCCATCTGCTGCCCCGGGGGGAGCGGATTTTTGGGGTGGGGTTTGCGGATTAATCTACGACATTTACCGAGCATCCCCGGGCGCTCGGGCCCCGTTATTGCCTCGCTGATGTGCTCCGTGTTTGTTCTGCGCCTACGAAAGGCCACGATGAAAGGCCCCTCCCGTTTTAATCAGTTTAATTTTCCTCGCCTTTTCATTTCCCCCCGGTGATCGGCTGCGCTGATAGAAGGGTGGGACTTTTAGTGATTTATCGCCTAACTAAAATCTAAAGGCAGGAAAATTCGAGTGGTAATGTGGAGCAAAACCACCCAGACCACTATTTACGTCATCAAATTACTATTTTTCTCAAGAGATGAATCAAAATAATCATAATAAATCCATATTACCTTTTTTTTTTTTTTTTAATCCTTGTAAATAAAGAAATGCTGCTTCAGGTTGGGGTTGGGTTTTAGTTTTCCTGAAGTTTTGGATTTCCTTGCCCCCCCAAAAAATTAGAATTTCCGGTAGATCAGCTGTCACTCAGCACAGAGCTCGTGTCTGGGGCTGCACTCGCGATTCGGGCGTTGTAAATGAGGCAGGAATGCATAATTAATAACCCAAATAAAGGGCTGAATCGCGTTAATCAGTAAAAAGAAGAGGCGATAAATTGTGCCTAAACAAGGGGAGCAGATTAGCTCCTGCAAGAGGACGCGCGATTGTACCGGATCGTACCGGAGTTTGCTGGTAAATTAATGTGAATTCACATCCACGGGCGCAGCAAAATCATCCTCTGATCTGCACCGGCGCCCCGTGACTGCGCCCTGTCCCTGAGGGACAAGCAGGACTCGAAATCCCGTCACTACTCACCCACCTTCCCTCCGGTGGAACCACTGACGGGCCCCGTGTGTGTGTAAATTGTTCCGCTTTTAGAGGGATTCACCCTCCCCTCCCCTGATCCACCCGTCCTCCGCGATGGAAATCATTTCCCCCCTCCACAACCGGCGCTGCGAACTTCACTCCTCAACCCCACAAGCAATTTACGGTCCTGTGAGGGACAAGAAGATGCTTCGCGCTCCAACCGAGGGTCCCCCCCCCCCCCCAAAAAAAAACCCCGCCTCGCCCCCCACCCCCCCCTCACCCCGTGACGGGAGCATCGCTGCCTATAAATGGGGGGGCGGCCCCGGCAGCATCAGCAGCACCATCAGCACCATCGGCAGCACCATCAGCATCACCGGCGGCGGGGCAGGATGACGGGGCAGCTGCTGCTGGCGCTGCTGCTGGCGCTGCTGGCGGCGCGGGGGGG